AAAAGAAGAAGAGACATACATCCACACCCACCCGCAAAATTATGAGAAAAGGTGAAAAATATCAACGAATATCTTTTTTTTCTTTTCTCTTTTCTTTCGAGTATGAATGAATATTTCGATGCGATCGAAACAGAACGAAAAGAAAAGAAAAAAAGAAAAAAAAAAGAAAAGAAAATATAAAATATGATTACCTTCTAATAAATTATTCGATTATTTTTCATTAATATTTCGATGGTTGATCAGATGAAGTTATACGAAGAACAGTTTTATCCATAACTTGACCACTATTACATCTTAATAATGCTTCGATTATTTGAGATGATTCATAATAAATTGTTGGTTCAACAGCATGTAATTTACGTTGAATAAATAAATCAATTGCTTCTTCCAACATATAAGATGAGTAAGAAGTGATAGATGATCAACAAATCCAACGAAATCAGTCAACCATATCTGATGGTGATAATTCTTTTTCTCTATTGTCTTCAATCCATGTTAATGGAGAAAGAAAACGAGATGGTGATACACAAGGTCGAAATAATTTTTGATCAACTTTTCGTTTAGGTATAATAGATATTTGTTCGTATTTAGATTTCTCTTGTTCATCATTATTTTGTAACATTTCATAATGCCATGTTAAATGTTGAACTTGATTATGATTTGTATCATTAAGATGAAGAAGAACTTGACAAGTATCAGTTGATTATCATGAATTAATCATATATTCTATTAAAGTATAAATAAATATTAATTTATTATTTAATGATGTTTGAAGATCAATAAGGTGTAATCGATGTCGTTCATATTCAGTTATTAAACTTCGTGCAAGACCAATAAATGATGATGCAATTATATTAAGATTCGAATCATTATTAAATTGAGCATGATCTGTAAGAACATATACAAATGGATGAAAATATGGTGATGATTTTTTGAATTATTCGAAGAATATGTGAAAATGTTCCACATAGAAGTTCTTCATTTTGTTTAAATACTAAATCATCATTATTTTCATTCAATGATATTTGATCAAGTGGCCATACAAATATAATAGATACTTGTTTATAAGTATTTAATAGAATTGATATTGAAGAATAAATAATATTTAATGTTGAATTTTGAATATAAATTGTTTTTTTATTATTTTGATCGTCTTTAGTAAATATTAACTATGTTTGATTTATTCTTTCATCAAGTCTTTGTAATATTTCATTCGATGTTGTTTTTTGACTAATAATTAGTGTACTTTCATTTTCATTTAATGTTGATTCAATAAAATTAAATCCTTCAATTTGTCTTGATAATTTTGTCCATTGTTGAATATTATTTAATACACGATTATTATTAATAACATTAGTAGATGATCACCGTTGATCAATAAAACCAACAATAAGATGAAAATAATGAGAAATATGAACTAATTCAAGTAAACGACGAAGATCAATTAAAGAATTTATTAAATCTTGATTTCCTTGAAGTTGGTTGGAAGAAAATATAATATCAAATGTTTTACTATCATATAGATCAATTATTTCATCATAAATAATAGATAAATTTCATTGATTAATTATATATATATTGAATGTTTGTTGAGCATTTGCAAATTGTATTGAATCAGAATCAACATAATGTAAATCAATTAATAAAAATATCAAGAATAGGTAAAATATCTGAATAGTCATTATCAGTTAACCAAAATATACGTAATCGATAATTTTCACATGAATTATCATCTTTCGTTTGTTGTGTTTTAGTTGCACTTAGAAGAGTTTTAATTTGTTGAAAAGTTTCTCCAATTTCATCATCATCACTAAGAAATATATCTAATCCATTTTTTTCTTCATTAAGAATATCTTTTAAATGTAAACCATGTTTATTTAATATTATTAAAAATGGTTTTAAACGAGGAAAACGTTGAAATAATTGAATAACACGAAGTTTTGTTGAATTCCATGTTACTTCTTCATGTAAAGTTGAAGCAAGAGAACGACATGTATTTAATAATGGATGATGTTGTTGATTTAAATCAGGATTTTTAATTGCCATTTGAGCATAATAAACAGCTAATTCATTAAATGGTTCTATTGATTCAATTAAATCTTGATTACTATTAGAATTAAGTTCATTATTAAGAATTTGATTAGGTGATGGAAGTAAATGTGATATATCTTTTATTATTGGTGAATCAGTTCATACTCTTTTCATACAATAACCTTTTATAATTGTATCTAAATATGTTTTATGATCAGTATTAGGTAAATCAGTTGTTAGATTTAATTTATCATAAATTATTTGTTCCATTGACCATCGATCAGAATGTGCACCTTGAACTTGTTGAATAACAGCACCTTCAAATGTAAATATTGGTTCTTCGGTTTCATTATCCATTGGAAATATCCATAAATTAAGACTATATATTTCTTCTTGGCCTATACCACATATATTATCATAATAGTTTTCACATACTTCGATATTTGTTGACTGATTCGTTTTTGTTTTTCTTGAATAAATAAATTTTAGAATACGTACTGGAAGAAATGTTGTTTCAACACCTGGTAATAGAACTAGATATGGATGCAGTAAATAATAAGATGAACAATTATTATTATCATTTGATAATTGAGATATAATTGTAGTTGAAGTACCATGTAATGTTTTTATTTTTTGAAAACTAGATCCATATTGATAAGCACTTGTTATATCTTGTATGGTCCATCTATCAGGTACTGTTAATGATTTTTGTTGTTTAGAATCAGTTTCAATTTTACCTTGAGCATGTAAAGTAAATTCATTTAATGACTATTTATTAAGATTATCTTGATTACAAAATATAATATACCATGTACACATTGGCATAATTATTTGTGTAAATACTTCCATCAATTCATGTTCATTAGGAATAAGTGCTTTATTATAGTTTACGTCTTCAAAAACAAGTGTTAGTTGTTGTTGATCATCTTCTTTTGGGGAAAGTAATTGATGACAAGCAGTTGTTGCAAGTTCAAGATAAGCAACAGCCGGGAAAAGAACTGCATCTTGAATTTTATGATCTTTTGAAAAAGCATGTTGTGTTAAATTAATATTAATAAGACTTTTCCATGTTGCACTTGTTTGTTCATTTAATTGACGAATACCAAGTAATGGATGAGCACGCAGACGATTAGCTAAACGTTGTATAGATGAATCTTTTGATTCATATCAGCATGGACTCAAATGAAATTTATATAATGGAAAATTATCAAAATATTCTTCATGATTTTTCAACGGTAAAATTTGACGAGTATGAAAATATTGTTGCCATACTTGAGATGATGTTGTAAATTGTGCTAAACTAGTAAGTAATGTTATTTGTTCATTTTCTTTTCGTTTCAATGTTAGAAGAATATGTGGTGATGATTATTGTTGATTTGTTAATTTACAACATTCACGAATAGATGTAGCTAAAACTGGATGTGGTGAAATTTCAAGAAAAACATTTGCTGCTTCATCTTTTATAATTGCTGCTATAGCATCATAAAATCGAACAGTTTGTCTTACATTTGACTATCAACTGGTATATTATCATTGATTTTATCATCAGTAACACTTGAATAAAGTTTTGCTTTTGATCTTGTATTGGAAGTCCTCGAATATCTTTCAAGGATGAAAGCATTTCTTTTTCAATATCAAATCGATTCATTTGATATGAATGAAATACATTTTCAATACGAACACATGCTTTGAATACATTTGGATAAGAGATTGAAAGTATTTGTTGTATTTCATCACTACTTATTGTTACTAGACGAAGACTATTAACAACAACAGCAATACAAGCCAAATGTTCAATACCTTTCAAAAGTTTATTTTCTACTTCTTCTTCACTCATTCAAACAGCTAACATACGAACAGCTTCTTCTAAATTTAAACAACCAGCAACAAAAGCAGTTGCTTGATCACCAGCACTATATGATATAATTAATGATGGATAAATATTCCATGAAACAAGTAAAGCTGATAATGCAACTTGTATAGCAAATAATATTGGTTGAACAATATTTGTATCATTAATACGAGATTCTTCTTCATTTTCTTTTCGATTAATTCTTCCAATAATCTCCATTCACCCTTATTAATTTTTGTCATTTCTCCATCAATTAAATGAATCCATTTATTAAATAAAGGTTCACTTTCATATAATTGTCCACCCATAGACCACCATTGTTGACTTTGTCTACTAAAAACAAAACATATTTTTTGTGCTAATGGTTTTGTTAGACGTGATGTAATTGAAAGGACTGGTGATATCTGTTCAGTAAGAAAAGCATTAATTTGTTCTTATAATTGTTGACGATTAAGAAAAACAAAGATTGCTGAATGTTGATAACTAACAGTTCTTTTAAGAAGAAGTTGTTGAGATATACGTTGAAGAAAAGCTTGATGATCATCATCATGTATATTATTAATTGATGATTAAGAGTTTGACGACTTTTTGCTAAATCAGAAGAAATAAATTATTTAATGAATGTAAAGAAATTAAGAACTTACTTGAAAAAATAAAAATAAACTTTTGTTTGCTTTGAATATGATTTTCATCGATATGACCATTAATAATTGATGTTTTATTTGGTTGATATTTTTCAATAATAGCATGTGTCGTTACACCACCCATTCCAAATGAATTAACACCTATAGCTATTTTTTCATTATTTGGAATGGATGGAAATGGTATAAAATTTTGAAAAACATGTAAATTATATTTTTGTGCATCTATTTTTGGATTAAGTGAAGTAAATTGCATATTTGCTGTAATACCACGATGATACATACACATAGCAACTTTAATAAGTAATGCAACACCAGCTGCACCTTCTGTATGTCCTAAATTACTTTTAATTGAATCTAATAATAATGGTGGATCAAGATTTGATCGATTAAAAAATCGACCTAAACAATTAGCTTCAATTGAATCACCTATAGGTGTACTTGTACCATGTGCTTCAACAAATAATATTTTTCGAGTATCAAAATTATTTCTTGAATAAATATTTGCTAATAAATGTCTTTTTTCAGCAGCTGATGGTACAAAAAAAATTAGTTTATCTTCGTTTCCATCATGGCCACTAAGTACATCACGAATACCACAATATATGCGATCTCCATCACGTTCAGCATCACTTAATCGTTTTAATAATAAAAGACCAAGATCATCACCTAGAAAATTCAAATTTAAATTTATTTCTAAATAAAAAAAACTAATCAATTGACTTTTTACCTTTATCGTAACGATTAGCATTGGCACTAAATGATCGACACCATACAGCCATATGTGAAGCTTATAAAGATGATGAACAAGTAACATATAATGAGACATTTAGGCCATGTAAATTAAAATGATATGATAAACGTGCTGATGTATTATATAATAATGTATTTGGTCCATGAAATCTTGATCCATGTTCAGGTCTCATACGAGTTGTTGTAATTGCATGATCTGTTGATAATAAATATATCTAAACTGAGCTATAATTAAACAATAAGAACTTATGAAGTAAATTATCTATTTATTGAAATGATTTATTTTGTATTTATTATAAAATACCAGTTGTCTATATACATGTAGGTATATGAGCGCCTTAATGTGTACGATTTTTTTAAACGTGCGTTTTTAGTCGCGGTCATGGTTACTTATACTCCATATATTATATGAGCAAAGGACCTTGATTACAATGATCATATCGACTCATAATGCTTATTTGATATTTTTCTTTATAACAAAATTTCTCTAATATTTTTGAAGTAGTTTAACTCAAAAATTATATATTATTTAAAAATAAAATCCTATTACATTAATTATGGATATACCATTCAATTTTAATCAAATCTTCATTATTTTCATTCTCAATAATTTCAGTAAGATTATTATATTTTTATTTCTATTAGAACTAAAATTATTTTAGTCTTAATAAAAGTAAAATAATTATTTTGATTTTTTGCAAAATAATTCATAAAATTCTACAAATCTTGATCAAATTAAATAACATTGTATTTTACTTATTTTTTACTCTTAACTTGAAAATTAATTAAAGAAAAAAGATTTTTTTTCTACTGAAAAAATACATAGTAACTATTGAGGAAAATAAAATTTGTTTTTAATTTACCGGTTCTATTAGTAGCAATTGCAGGTGAAATATGAAGAAGACTTTTGATATTTGAAACTTCACCACAATCAAAACAGCGATTACTAAAAATAAAGAAGATGAGAACATTCAAATATTCAATGTATTCATTTGCTGACAGTTAGAGTCAGAGAGAACAGATTTACCATTATTGAAATTCGTCTGATAAAGCTAAATGAGACTTAATTTCATTTTGCTAGTAAGATCGTTTATGAGCATCAATGTCTTCTGAAATACAATACAATCGATTACTTTAAGGTATCGCAAGACGTGTAAGAACATCTTTGATCTAATAAATAAAATTAAAAAAAATATTTTTTTTAATTAAATTCATTATTATTTATTGAAAACAAACTTCAATGTTGACGTCCATTAGTGTAGCTTTTGGACAAAATTCAAAAATAATATTGGATATATTAATAAAATTGTTTTTGCACATACTGAGATATAACCTTAAAAAAAATAAAATTTCAATATAAAATAAAATATAGTAATACTCTTACTATTTTCCGGTGTTTCTAATAATTGGAAAATCTTCAGAAAAATAAGTTTTTATTTTACCCTGCAAAATAGTCATGTACGTGCAATTCACCACCATCTCGGCCTTTGGACCAATTTCAGTACTCATCAATCATAGTACATTCTGCATCTAATATTCCAGATTGGAGAAACATGCGTCTTGTTCACAAATAATACTAGTATATATCATTTAATAATTAGAGAAGATTAAAAAAATAAATTTTTATATTACCCTACGAGTTACGCAGGCAGCTGGAGATCACCATCATTTCGACCTTTGGACCAATTTCGGTATTCATCAGTTAGAGTGAGTGCGCCATCTCAGATTCCAAATTGCAGAAATATGTGTTTCGTCACTAGTAATAATAAAATAATTTCTTTAATAAGAGAAAAATATAAATAACAATGATATTTTATTTTACCCTGCAATTTATTTATCTCGATGCAGTTCAGTACAAGCACGACGTTTTGAACAAATTTCTATAATTATGAGCTACAATATGTTCACCATTCATAGCTGGATAATGAAGAATTGTTTGTTTTGATACCTTGTAAGGATATAGATGCTTACGTGTATGCGCAGTGAAAAATATTTTTAATGAGTGCAAATTAGAAAACATTGTTTTGACAGATATGAAGAAGATAAATAGTTAGCTGTGTGCGCAATAAGTATTGTTTTTGTATGACTGTAAAATATAAAATTTTTGTTATGGTATATATCAAAGAGATAAATATTTATCTAAATTAACGTTAAAAATAACTACCGATGACTCTAAAACACAAAATTTTGTTTTGATAGATATCAACGAGATAAATGCTCACCTGTACGCACAATAAACGTATTTCGTATGACTGTAAAATATAAAAATTTTGTTATGACATATATCAAATAGATAAATGCGTACCAAAATCAACGTTAAAAGTAATTACCGATGACTCTAAAATATAATACTTTAGTATGACTGGTAAGCAAGAGAATGAAAAAAATCGTTTGATTGCTTTCACGGCATGTAATGTATGGACGATTTTTCTATCATAATAAACAAGATTGACGTTTATATATATTCTTATTATACAGTGTCAATTTGAAAACAAGTTATAAAGAATGAAAAATTATATTATACAGGTGTCCATATGTATTCATCCGTGAATTTGTACTTTTTTGAAAATACGATATTCAAAAAATAAAAGTAACAATATCAATTTTCATTTCATAACAATGTCTGTTTACTTATTTTATTTCACATTCAAAATACGTAATGTATAAAAAAGAACAATCTGATAAAAAACCGACAGTTCGAAAATTATGAACAACACAAAAAACCAAACTATTTGGTATGAAAGAGACTTAAACACAAAAATACATAAGAAAAAAAGTCAAATATAATATTTGTAATTGTTTGTATTTGTATCATTGAATAGGCATCAACTGCTTTCTAAAATAGACATAATAGTATTGAATAATGAGTATTGTAAAATAATTTAAATGGTTAACTGAATTATATAATTTAATAACAATTTTGTGGAGTTCTAGAGTGCTCGTAAACTTTCATAATCAGATGCTTCAATATGAAAAACGGTTGTTCTTCTAAAATAAAAATAAATAATATAAATACAAAGAGTAATAAAAAGTATTACCTTCAGTAATATTCTCTTTTTATAAACAAGTAACGCTCCTCCGAGGACTCGCTTAGCTCTTTCTCATAAAAATGCATTTTCTGCACATTTACCGGAAAAACAAGTGGAAACCGTGAAAAATCAGTTTTCGATGTTTTTTTTTGACTTTTCACCCACACTCACCCTCCTCACCCACGCATCTCTAACCGTGGTCACTCAATAGACCTCAAACTCGAACTCTCCGCATCGAAAAACCTCTAGAAATGTCTTTTTCTAAAAATCGATTTTCGATGTTTTTTTGACCCTGCGGACATACAAGCAAGCAAACAAGCAAGCAAGCAAGCAAGCAAGCAAGCAAGCAGACAATTTATGTTTACTGGACTCTTCTCTACGAGAAAGAGAATATTCGTTTCTGTCAAAAACTTAGATTAATATGCATCAATTTATTGTTCTTTAGATGACAACAGATTATCAAAATATACGAATAAATGAGATCGTAGTTGTTTAAAGAAAGCAGCTTTATAAACTTTGAATTTTTTATTCAAGACATTCTTTTATATTTAAAAGATTAAGATGAGAAAGCTAATTATTATTTGTATGTAAATCTGGTCTTTATAATACGTGTTACTGTAACTCGGTACAACTATCAACTTTCTATTCTCCAAATATATCGAAGAGAGATAAAAAAAAAAAGACAAGTCAAGGAGAGGAAGAGACTAGAGAGAGCGAAGGAGAAAGACATCGATAAAAATGCACGCAGAGAGAAAATATATCGAGAGGAAAGAAAGAAGAAACAGGTAGTAGGGGAGAAAAAGAGCACGTGTTAGTGAAATAGACAAAAAGGATGTCATTCAAAAGGATGTTCATCACTTTTTTGGCATAATCATACACTTGAATATTCATTTTAGTTTCTATTTTACAAAATATGCTTTTAGTTTTATTATTTTATAATTAAACTTAAGTAATATTTTAATCAATTCTTTCTTTGTCTTTTTTTGTATATTCTATTTGATTTAGTTTATTTTTCTTTAAATAAAACTGCACCGTAATAACAAAGATTTTATGTAAACAAACAAATTCTTTTATATAAAAGAAAGAAAATTAATCTAATATTAATTAATTATATCATAATGTTTGTATCAATTTTATACAGAAAATATAAAGATTTATTGTAAAAAAAAACAAAAAGAAATTGTGATAAAATAATTCAATTGATATCTTGAGAATTACTAATTATTCTTTAAACGATTTCATATTAAATTCCAGTAAATTATTATGAGAATAAGAATGAAATATTCTTTCTATTAATAATATACCTAAACATACATTCGCATAAATGTAATAGTAGAAATCTGAATTCAAATATTCAAATATTC